ACCCTCTTTAATATAACCGATTGGTTTGCCCCTGGCAAGTTAAGATTCTTAAATTTTATTTTCAGTTCGATTATTTGTTTCTCTCCTCATTTGTGGGCCACAATGTAAACGAATGGGTTACCAGTAATTATGTTACCACTATGAATAAAGTCATTTTTTAAAACATAAAACGTCTCAGAATTTTGACTATACATGGTGAAATGAGGGCGTACTCATCTCGAGAGTTACTTTTGCGAGGTCAATCTGTTACCATGCAGTATTTTGCACTGAAATGAAATGTCGAACATTTTTTTATTTATTTATTTATTTCTATGTGGAAATAAAAGGGTCAACAAATAACACTGATATGAACTAAAATTATGGTCTTAATTACCTGTTGCCAATCACTTGCAAGAGTCGTGGACTCAATCGGCCGAGGAAACAAGAACGTCGGTCTTGCTATGAGGACAACGCCGGTAAAACAGAGTAAAGTCGCCACTGCATCGAACCATCCCCAAGCTTCACCAAGAAGAAAATGCGCCAGAACTCCCGTGAATATAGGAGCGGAAAACACGATAACAGTCGCATCTGCGAGGGCCATGTGCTGGAAAGCGTAGAACTGGCAGCAAAGAGCTAGAGTTCCGGCGATTCCACGAACGCACAAAAATGGAAGATGCTTCGTGTTGCCAACAATTGGAATCTTGTTGTAGATTAACGGGGGAAGGACAAAGATAACTTGAACCATATTGCGGAAGAAAACGACTTCCTGGGGAGGAATTTCTCGAAGCAGTTTGACAAGGAGGGAGGAAAACGCAAAAAAGATGCACGAAGACATGGCACAGATTATACCAAGAGTTCTCCTAAGCGGTGAATATTCATCTTGAACTTCCAAGTCATTTGTGTTTTCTTTCTCCGTAGTTTTTCTCGTCTCTTCTGGCGTTTTAAACAACTGCTTTCTTAACATCATTTTAAGGAATCTCTTTTTGCAAGTAAATATGTACAGAAAATTTCTATCAGCCGTAAAGGCGGGCTCCAACACCTAATAAACGGTGAAAAACGGCAAACATTTTTGGAACGCAAATTATATTTTAGCATCGTGATCAACCTTATGGTGAATTCCCATGAAATAATCGAAAAAATTTTTGTACTTTTATTGAGGATTGAGAGTCTTTTAGATTTCTTTGTTCGATCTCAGTACAGGAATTAAATGATGTGACTTTTCAAAAGATCATTTTGGTACATTGTGAATATCGGCCAATTGGAACATTTTATATAAGGCAGTACACAGCTGTGGCAAAGAGAGCAAATCTCACAAAAATAATAAAAGAAATTTTGTTCTTTTTCGACAATCCCGAGTCAGTCAAGGACAGGTTTGTTTCTTTCAAAGCTTTAAGACTTTTTTCCTATTATTTAATCAAAGTCTCTTTACAATTTAAAGTTTCAATTTGGGTTTGAAATTTTCGATGTCGGGATTTTTTTGGGTAGGAAAATTTGTCAAGTTTTTTTTTGGGTGGCTTGATTTAAGTAGGGAGTTTGTGGGTCTTCAAAACAATCTGACTTGTCGGCTGTTTTCTCAGGTTATCAAAATACCTATCCAGCTTTACGGCATGGTAATCGACTGATCACACTTATAAGTTTAATTCTCTTTTTTTAGTCGATGGTTTGACCAGATACCGTATTTCCTCGAATAATCCACGACCTAACAAGCGCCCTTCCCCACCCCCTAAAAATTGAGTGTCAAAGTATGTTGGGATTTGCCTAATCCCTGTACGGCGTCTTCCCCGGCCTTCTCGGTCAAGGCATTTCGGTGACGTATCCGAGACGAACGACTTCCTCGGACCACGTGACCCGAGACGCATTCACCGCTCGGAATAATTAGACCCAGGGACTAGGCAATGTCGGGATCACTTTGGGTGTGCATTGCAACCTTTGTTCATTGGCTCGTTTCAAACGTTTTGTGCTATGTTTCTTTTGTACTTAATTAAAAGAAAATCCAAAGCACACTGAGAACAGTCTGTTCCTATTGTTTATACCTCAGTTTTTGGCAATTGAAATCATCTGATATGTCGGTACGGTCTGCGCTTGTTAATAAGGTTTGATAAAAGTAAGTGTGACTGAGCTTTTATCCAACAACACTCTACTTAATATCTTATCAAGTCAAATACAGTTAGTAATGTATGGTGTAGAGGTCAAACTCTGAGTGTTTGGTTATTTAGTATTTATATATAGTAACTGATTTATGAAATGAAGGATTTCATCATTCTCAATGGTACGTTTTCAAAGAGACCTGTATTCAACGCGCTTCCCGGCCCTGATCCAAAGCGGCTCTTTAATTGGTTATTGAGCTACAACTAAAGGAATTTTTCCCACAAAAAATGCGTATATGTGTCAGTTTTTCTGTTTCAATCTCAGAAGGTACAGAGTTGAACCTTAACGAGTTAGTTTCAGACAAAACTATGGTTCTGCGGAGTCGAACCAGAACTCCAGTTGCGACTAATTTTTCTGTAACCTGAACCATAACCCTAACCCTAACACTAACACTAACCCCTAACCCTAGCCCTTCCATGATTACCACGAAAACCCTCCTCTTAATGGTCATGTGACTTATAAGAGGTGAAAATGGCGGGAAAGCGTAAAATTGTCGAGTTTTGGCTCGGTATGTAGGCATCCTCGTTTTGTAGCTGCCGTCGCTGAAAACACTCAAGTGTCCGATACTAGGTATCATATTGACCACTGACAAATCAGGTGAATTTTTTGTTTTATTTTACCCAAAACTATGGCTTAGCGAACCCTTGGAAGTCTTTTCTCCTGCAAAACAAAGCTAAAAATTCAAGTACGGAATCTGGCATAGCCGGGCTAACAGTGTAAACAATGAAGAACGAAATTATGGCCCGCCATAACAAATACCACTACCACCGAAACAATTTGAATCTAAAGCAAAAAGAAACAACCGCAAACTAGTCAATACAGAAAGTCCAGAATCTGGGAAATGAAAGAAGATAAATGTACAAAAAAGCCTCGCCGAGAATCAGGTCTGTGCGTTAGTTAATATTCAAATTCAAGTAGACAGACTGCAAATTATAGTAGTTGCTAAAAAATATATCTACGACGGTCCCAACTGTTCATCAGCAGGATGCCTAAAATGCGTGCAATTCCACAATTGGTTTCGGCTCCATTAAATCCTATACCAATTGCAGAACATTTAGGAGGAACCACCCACCGTGTGAGCACAGTCGCGGACAAAACATATAAGTGAGGAAAATAACGCAAAGCAAAACTAAGACGTTATTAAACGAACTAAATGTACACGCAACTTAAATAAATAAATAAATAATGCACGCGCTCAAAATTAAATTGCGCGGGCACACGAGAGCGAGATATTCGGAAAAAAGTTTGGATCAATTTAGGTTTCTAAGAAACTGACCACCTACCCCTCCCCTAAGCCATTATTTTACCCTAAGTGAGAAGTAAGTGTTAATGTTAGCTTAGGGGAGGGGTAGGTGGGCAGTTTCCCGGATACCAAAATTTATCCAAAAGTTTTACCCAAATTTATAAGGCTTTGTATGAAGACACCATGTTGTTGTCCTTTTGAGGGGCACAAATATGGCCGCCGGAAACCAAAAAGAAAAAAAAATTCGCCAATATTTGACAAATTGCACAAAGTGGAATAAACAATGACGTTTGAGACCGCGCAAATTCAATCAATTTTTAAGTGACGTGTTTTCGCCACCATCGCTGTTGTGCTCGCTTCAGTCCCCAATGGCATTCCACGAGAGCGTACTCTAAGTTCGATGTTCTGGGACTAACGAAGACCTGACAAGAAAAACGAGAAGAGAGAACGCTAAATGGAGTAGATCAAACAGCTCGAGGAGCCTGTGCTTTACGTACAGATTACAGCCCTCACAGTTTGTCAATCTAGCACGCGGAGAATTCATAACTGATGTTACAAGCGTAAAGCTCTTTTATCCGAAACGCGCTACAGCGACCGTTTGCTCTTACAATGGTATAAGTTGCTTGTGGCGTACACAGAGAACAGAAAATCTTTGAGGTTAGTGTCTCCCTATTAGTAAATGTATCACGCCAAATTGAAACTTATTTGTCGCTGGAAGCATTTATCACTCTCACGAACGAGAACAGCACGGCCGAGAAAAAAAACAAAACAAATTAAACAACAAAGGAGAACGCTAAATCGAGTAGACTAGCTCGCCTCCAACGGGGATAAGAGGTTTCTTA